AAGACCACATTCATGCCTGCTCAGGTAAAGGTGGCCACGTCATACCTGCTATACGGCTGGCAGCCAGCGGTGGTAAGATGCACCCGGATTTCTGTGATATTAACATGTGAGAAAAAGACCATGCCTCCGAGAAGCAATGAAATGGGCAAGCCAATCCCTTATGTTGCAGGTGAGAAAACACAAGCATGGAGCTGTGACGTGACACATCCCAAATCACAGAGCCCCCGGGAGCTGAGATTTGTGGCAATGCATTTTCTTTCTGCTCCCTCAGGCTACTCCTAGGAGACAGCCATCTCTAAGCTTGTCTTACATTTTCTTGCTTAAAAAAACAAAAGAAAAACAAAAACAAAAACAGTCTCTTAGAGCATACATGACAGTATGATGAAACTATCAGTACCTACGCTCAGTCTTAGTCCTACAAGCCCCATGAAAAGGGGTGATGAGAAATGTCATTCCAATACCATCTAAGGGACCATAAGCTTATAGCTGCTGAGGGACGGCATTTCCACTCTCCACAGGCTGATCCCCAGGCTGCCATTCAACAATATTGTGCCATGTTTACAAATGAGACCAGCCAGGTGTTTTCTCAGAGTCACACACTCACTCCAGGGGAGAGGCCCCTGGAGAGACACCATCCCCATCAGAAGTCTACAAGAGTCTGGAAACGCCCTTTCGAGCCTGATACTTGCAATCATCATGCCTGTCGCACGCAGAGTAGCCGGAGTTCTGGAGGCTGCTGCATTGATTCCCAACATCTAAACATGCTACTGGCAGCCTGGCAGGGCATCTGTCTCATAGGCACTGGAATGAGGTAAGGAAAACACATGTTTCTTATGTGGGCCGGGGATTAAAGCGCTGGCCCCTTGACATTAACACAGATTCACAGGGGCAGGTCCTCTTTGCTTCAACAAAAACTTTTAAAAAATTTGCCTATAGGGCCAGCCGAGTGGATCAGCTGGTTAAGAGCTCGTTTGGGTGCACCAGCTCTGAGCAGGAGGGCTGCAGTTTGGATCCCACATTGAGGGCCAGTGACGCTCGCCCTCTACAGCTAAGATGATGAACAACAGCTCGACCTGGAGCTGGGCTGCTGTGAGTCACCAGCGACAGCGTAGGCTGCAGCAGGGCTGCAGTGGGCTGCCATGAGCTACGTGAGTGGCTGGCAGCCAGCATGAGTGGCTGGTAGCCGGTGTGAGCTCCCGGGAGCCGCTGGGAGCGGCCGACCAATGACCGGTGACCAATTGCCCCACCTGGGAAGAGCGCAATGATCATACCAACATGGGCCAGTGAAGCGACGTCCTCCACAACTAGACTGAAGAACAAAACAGCAATTTGTCTACCTGCCTGTTCCTCTTCCCCGATTCCCCAATGCTGTTCCCCTCTCCCTAGTCACCCAATAAAATCTTCAAAAAAAAAAATTGCCTATAGATGGATAAAGAATAGGCCCCACGCCTTTGAGATGAGGGTAGATCCAGTTAAACTGAGCTGAGATACACTTTCCCAAATGCAAGGCCAAAACCATAAAGTCGAAGTAGAAACATGCCTGGCTGACATGTATGAGAACAGCAGCCCGTGAAAACNGGGAAGCAGAACTCAAAGCTAACTTGGTTGAAGGCAGCCACAGAGCTAGTCTAGAAAGTCGTGCCACTCTGAAAAGATTGGGCTGCACTGGAAGCAAAGAAAACAGCCAACCACAGAAGGTTGTGTACCTCTAAGCACTGTCCAGGGAAAGGGGTGCCCTTCCTGAGTATCTCAAGGGAGGGGAGAAGGGTGCAGACAAAAGCACAGGGCTGTCCCATTTGCTCACCTTTAAGGGCCCTACCACACTCCAGCTCAGCCCTGAAATGGTCTGAGGGGCTGCCTCCTTCCCCAGCTAAACCATGAGCTCTTACAGGTGGAGGATATGTCTGTTCCTTCTCTCATCCCCCGGGGAGCCAGACCTGGGCCCACTGCAGACATTTAGTTAATCAGCGAGTGTTTAATGATGGATTCCCTGAAATTAGAAGATGGCCAGCAGGTAACTGACATTCTGTCCCCCTTAGTATTAGCAGAGAGGAGCTGCAGGCTGCTGATGGGCATAGAAGTGGGTGGCATATCAGCAGGGGAACCAGCTAACACAGCTAGGCTGGGGCCAGCCCCTCTTTGGCTGAGTAGCCCCTAGTGTCACACACAATGCCTGAGGCCCGCTGGATAGCAACCAAGGAAATATGGAACTGATCTAGTGCCCAGGGCTCTTAGAGCTCTCTCTGAATTCTCTATGAACCACAGGGAGATAAAGAACTGAGCAGCCAGAACCCAGGAGTGTAAAATGCCCAGAAAACAGAAGGCCAGACTCCTGATTCCTGGAGTGGCCTCCATGCCCAGAGGCAACACACCCACGGCTGTTTCTGCTTCTGCTCCAGGCCCCTGGGGAAGGCTACTCCTACTCAAGGACAGCTGCCCTTTGACCTTTACTGAAGCAGGAAAGCAAACCAATACTGTATTCCCCATAGGCCGTTGGTTTCCAAACTATTTTCCTCTAATATCATATTTATTTCTCAAAGGAAATTCTAAATATTTTTTTAGACTATATAAAAGATTATTCTAAATAATATATATAAAAGATATATAAAAGATATTAACTAGCATTTCCTGAGCATTTACTATGTGCCAAACCCTGTGATAAATACTTGTTGTACATTAATTCAATCCTTAAAACAATCCTGTAACATAGGCACCATTTTTGTCACCACTGTACAAATCAGGAAACAGAGGCAAACAGGAGTTGCCCACAATATTTGCCAGTTACGTCTTTAACCTTGTAGAACTATGGAGGTTCCAGTGATGGATGGATGGCAAGCCAGAGACGAGAGCTGCTGGCCAAGGACATGTTGAAGACCGAGGTATGGTAGCTCTGCTGGGGTTGGTTTCCCCAGTGTGTCTCTCTGGGACATGCTGAGGTCAAGTAATTAGGGAAAGAGGCAGCCAGACAATCTGAGCTCCAGATCACTGCATCTGGTAATGCACATTGCGTGTTCTTGTAGACAGGGATCATTTTGTCTTTCCCATCACATATTGTACTTCCAGGCCTGGCCCAAAGTAGGATTTCACAGAAGATGCATGGGAGACCCCTGGGCTGCCTGTGGGGTTGCCCATCTTGAGCCTCTGTGACCTACGAGCTTTCTCCCCAGGGCTAGTTTGGGGCAGTGGCAGCAAGGACTCCCAGATGCTACCAAATCCCTTCTAGAGAGAGCCCGCCTGGTGGTAGGCAGATCCTGGATGGCTGTCCATCACAGTCCCATTATCCCTGAGGTTAATTTCACCCACTAGAGTGTGGCAGCAGCAGATAACCTGTTTACATGCACACAGCAGGAGCAGCCTGTAGCCAGTTACAAATGCAGGGAGCAAGCTGAGTAGTTAACTGGCAGATAATTAACTGAGAAATTCCCTACAGCACTCGGCAAACTCGGCTGAGACCTGGGAAGGAGGAAACAGAAAGGGGCCTCCCCTTGGAGAAAGGACCTTACAAATCATTGAGCCAAGTGTTGGCGAGGACATGGAGAAATCAGAACCCTCATACACTGATAGTGGGAATGAAAAAATGATGCAGCTGCTTTGGAAAACAGTCTAGTAGTTCCTCAAACAATTAAACATAGAGTTAACATACGACCCAAAATTCTACTCCTAGGTATATGCCCAACAGAAATGAAAATATATGTCCACACAAAAACTTGTACATGAGTGTTTTTGGTAGCATTATTCATAACAGCCAAAACATGGAAACAACCCAGATGTCCACCAACTGATGAATGGATAAACAAAAGGTGGTATATCTATGCAATGGAATATTATTTGGCCATCAAAAGGAATGAAGTCTTGATACATGCTAAAACATGAATAAGCCTTAAAAACATTGTGCTAAACGTTAAGTCATAAAAGACCACATTTTGTATGATGCCATTAACATGAAATGTTCAGAATATGGGAATCTATACAGAAAGCAGTTTGGTAGTAGCTTGGGTCTGGGATGGGAGATGGGGGATGGGATAGGTGGGCAGGGGGCAATAGTTAAAAGGTGTGGGTTTTCTTTTTGAGGTGATGAAGATGTTATAAAATTGACTGTGGGTGCCCATATCTATGATTATACCGAAAACCATTTAATAATATACTTTAAATAGGTGAACTGGATGGTATGTAAATTATATCTCAATAAAGCTGTTTAAAAAATTAGTGTATCTACACAAGCTAGCCCCAGGGTAACTGCCTTGGGTTGGAATCTCTGGCTGATTAGATTGGATACCACTCCAAAGAAAACTGTAGTTGTGAGGGTCAACTCAGGCTATACATGAACCAACAAAAAGCCTGAAAAACTGAGTCACGGTTCCCACCGAATCTGGGAGAAATGTCTGCAGCTTTCCTGGAAGGGATTCTGCTGCCTTACCAAAGATGAGGATGCATCTCTTGGTACAGCTCCATCCATCCATCCATTTTTCCATCCACCTACCCATCCATCCATCCCACCCATCCATCCATTTTTCCATCCACCTACCCAATCCATCTATCCCACCCATCCATCCATATGTCCACCCATCCATTCATTTAAAAAGCACCTACTCAAGGTTGCACAAGAAAAGGCAGGTGAGCAACCAGGCAAAGGATATCATGAGCCAAGTGCTGTGGGGCCCCGAGGAACAGCACCGACACATGAGAGGAATACTGAAAATGTCATTTGTATTAGCTTGCCCTAATTGGCAGAAAAATGCAAATATAACTAATAGATATGAAAACCAGGAGAAACCTTAGAAAGCAAAGTCATCAATTAGAAGACCCACCATTATTTTATATGCCACAAAGAAGAGAAGAAATGCTGCCAGTTAAACTACGACATATCTGAAGGATAGCCTGGCATACAGACAAATTGGTCACAGGAGCCCTAGGTGGCTTTGAGGTCCTTTCATCTCTTCTGATGGACGTGGGAATTTCTG